ATAAGGAAGCCTCTACCACGAAAAACGTATCACCCTGTGGATTCTAAAAATCTATAAGATGCTCAAAATGATGATCTTCTAGGAATTATCAACCACACTCAATTTCTACTTGAAATCTTCGAAAGTGAGCGAGATATATTAATTAAAAGAAAAAAATAATTTAACTTTGACCCCCTGTAGCTCCGTTTCTGATCGAAATCGGACTTATGTTTATATAAACTATTTTGATGAAAATGATGAAATCTATCACTCATTACAGTTTGTGCCTTCAAATATGAATCACCCTGTATTGTCAACAGTTGAAGATGATATTTCAGGAGAATTTTCGAAACGCCATATATGATAAAATGATGCAATTCGGTACAAGAACTAAACTTATCAGGCCCTATACAGTGAAAATAAAAGCATTCCAAAATTTCATTCAGGAGTGTATGCAGTCCCACCCTGTATTTTACACTCCTGAATGAAATTTTGAGATGATTTCATTTTTTATGCATTGGGCCTGATGAAAAGTTTAGTTCTTGTACCGAATTGCATCAGTTCATATGGCGGTTGAGAAGAATTCAAGAAATATCATCTTCAGTAGTCTCTTTTCAGGAGTGAAATATTTCTTCTTATTTTTGGTCGTAGAAGCCACTGGTGATAGTGGGCAGACTAATTTCGGGACACCCTGTATAGGGTGGCCATCTGAAAACGAAACAGAGCCAATTTTGGGCATCCCTAAGTCATTTACGAAAAAATGCTCGGACCCGTAAATTTTTTAGTTCAGGCGGAAATATTTTTTTGTCAGTTTCATCTCCTGATAAAAAATGTGATATTCGTGTCTGAAATTTCAATGGAAAGAGAGGTCGAATGATATCTTATTTCGAAAGAATTATTACCTAGACTATAATCTCTGAGTTTTACATCGCTACTTTCTACGTAGCCCATACAGAGGCTCATCAAAAGTACAAAACCAGTTAGTAAAAATTGCATGAAAAAGTCCACATTGAGAGTTGAAAACGAAAGACTGATCAAGTCCAACCATAACTTGAGCTCTTATATCATTTTTTTCAGAATATTTTCGGAAAAATATGCCTTTTGCCTTCAGGGCTATCCGAAAAAATTTTGTAAGACCTCATTGTTACAAATCTATTCTTTTTTAAATTTAACATTGTAAACATTATGTTAAGCCGGTTTTGTACGTCTGGTGAGGCACTGTATGGGCTACGTAAATTGTAGCGATGTAAAACTCGTGGGTTATAATCTAGGTAAAACTACCTTCAAAATAAGGCACCATACGACCCCTCTTTCCATTCAAGATTTTAGTGGTGAGTGAAAAAATGTTCCCCCTGAAATCAAAAATTTACGAAAATGATCAAGGGTACCCAAAATCGGCCCTGTTTCGTTTTCATATATGGCCACCCTGTACATATGAGTACTCAACAATTAATTTACTATCAGCAAACCATTTTGTTAGAGACAACTTTTTCATAAATGATGGTCCTTCAGAAATAAGTATCTACATCTACCTATATGCACATGTCAATCAATGAAAGGAAAGCATCTAATACAAAGTTTTCCCGAAATTGAAGCACTAAAGTCACAATTAAATATTCAATTATTGACTTATTGAGTATTGAATACTTCAGTGGTTTGAGAAGATTTGATTATCAAATATTTTCGAATGTATCGAAGACTGGAACCTTTGGCACGATAATACACTACACTGTTTTTATCTTCTCCTGAAGATGCTAACATAGTTAGCGAAACACGTGTCGAGGCGTTAAAAAATCGGTTTGGTTAGTGTTAAAACAGTGTAGTGTATTTTCGAATGGTTGATACCAACTATTCAAATATTGAAATATTTCAAGAAGTTTCGAATTATAAATATTTTCAAAGTATTCAAATATTTACGAACTTCTTTGAATATATGATTTTCCATTCCAAAAGTAGGAGATCGATATTCTTCTGGATGACTAAATACCTATACTGTTGGCCAGCTCTGTATACCGGCTCTGATGAATACTGTATACAAGTTTCTATATTATTATCTTGAAAGAAAAGATGTTTCTCGTGACATCTAGACCTACTTAATTAACCAATCTAATATTTATATGGTGTCATCAGTAAATCAAATGTCATCATGCAGTAACAACATTATTGCAGAGTAATAAACCATCCTAGAACTTTAGAAACGAACGTCTTCATATGTATAAAAATAGGAAGACACACTTAATTAATGTTGGAGAATCTATGGTTGTAGTAACGGAAAAATTCGTACAGAAAAATATGTTATTGAATGTTTATGGATTTGAAGAACTTGTCGACATGAAAGATGTTCTTGAGAGATTGATATTGTATAGCATCAAAAAATCAGTGACAGTATGGAATTAAATCATTTCATTGTGAAATGTTTCGGGAATATTCAGGTGGAATCATCTTCAGGACTCCCAATTCAACGAACCGTTCCTCCCTAGGGACCATTTTCCTATTTTCGTTTTATTATGAATTTATTATAAACTTCGATCGCAGTGCTTAAATACGTGTGACTAATAGTATATTATGTAACAAGTGTTATAAACGTCCTTTTAGTAACGAGTGTCTAGAAGAGTTTATAAACGCGTTACATACTATGCTTTTTCTACGAACTCCGAAAATTACATTAACATACCTGCTTTTCCTGCTAACCTACGAAATAATTCGAAAGGAATAGGAATTGAGAACATAATACATGCAACTGCATGCAACCAGCGAGACACGTATAAGTGATATTGGTTGTAGATGTGTCCAGTCCATTGCTTACTAACCATTGTTTCACGTTTATTGTCATGTTTAGCGCAGAATAAATAAATTGTTCTCAAAGATGGATGCTTCATTTTTACACTTCTTGGAGATATGCAAGTACCAGAACATTCTCTTCGATTTCACTTTCGTCTACATTTCGCTCATATTCTGAATGAAGAATTCTGATACAAACGAATATTGTTTGAAGAATTCTGATACAAAATTCGAAAATAACAGTTGACAGGTAATACAATTGACAGGCCAGACATGTCTCAAACTACTGAAGCTGTTGAAAAGGAATATTCTCAGATAAATTATGAACATACAAAAATGGATATATATTTATATAAAGCAATACATTGAGAATTCGCATTCTCTATGTGATGAGAATATTTACTCTTTTTCAGTTAATTCAACAGAAAACAACTACTTTCCTGGCTATATGCCACGACGAACATTGAATTATATCTATTGAACACACACGATAAGAGTTTGAAAATAAAATATAAAAATTTCTGAAATTGAGAATTTGCATTCTCCTTCAGACAAAAATATGTATATACACACATCATTCTGAATATTCAACAGAAAACAACTACTTTCCTGTGTTTAATGAACTGTGTTGCCATGGTAATGTGTTTAAGAAATCGTGTTGCCATGGTAACGTGTTTAATATTTTGAATAAATCACAGATCGACAATCCGTGATTAATCGATCATTTAGCGTGGTACATATCCGTACGCTAAATGCCATTTTAGTTATGTGAGTAGAAATAGTATATTATGTAACAAGTGTTATGAACGTCCTTTTAGTAACGAGTAGTTTAAGCACGAGCGGAGCAGAGCGGAGCGAGTGTTTAATAAACGAGTGTCTAGAAGAGTTTATAAACGCGTTACATACTATGATTTTTCTACGAACTCCGAAAATTACATTAACATACCTGCAATTCCTGCTAACTTACAAAATAATTCGAAAGGAATGGGAATTGAGAACATAATACATGCAACTGCATGCAACCAGCGAGACACGTATAAGTGATATTGGTTGTAGATGTGTCCAGTTCATTGCTTACTAACCTTTGTTTAAATAAATTGTTCTCAAAGATGAACGCTTCACTTTTACACTTCTTGGAGATATGCAAGTACCAGAACATTCTCTTCGATTTCACTTTCGTCTACATTTCGCTCATATTCTGAATGAAGAATTCTGATACAAACGAATATTGTTTGAATAATTCTGATACAAAATTTGAAAATAACAGTTGACAGTCAATACAATTGACAGGCCAGACATGTCTCAAATTACCGAAGCTGTGTTTGATAAACTGTGTTGCCATGGTAATGTGTTCAAGAAATCGTGTTGCCATGGTAACGTGTTTAATATTTTGAATAAATCACAGATCGACAATCCGTGATTAATCGATCATTTAGCGTGGTACATATCCGTACGCTAAATGCCATGTTAGTTATGTGAGTAGAAATAGTATATTATGTAACAAGTGTTATAGACGTCCTTTTAGTAACGAGTAGTTTGAGCACGAGCGGAGCAGAGCGGAGCGAGTGTTTAATAAACGAGTGTCTAGAAGAGTTTATGAACGCGTTACATACTATGATTTTTCTACGAACTCCGAAAATTACATTAACATACCTGCGATTCCTGCTAACCTACAAAATAATTCGAATGGAATGGGCGTTGAGAACATAATACACTGCATGCAACCAGCGAGACACGTATAAATGATATTGGTTGTAGATGTGTCCAATCCATTGCTTACTAACCTTTGTTTCACGATTATTGTCATGCTTAGCGCAGAATAAATAAATTGTTCTCAAAGATGGATGCTTCATTTTTACACTTCTTGGAGATATGCAAGTACCAGAACATTCTCTTCGATTTCACTTTCGTCTGCTTTTCGCATATATTTTTAATGAAGAATTCTGATACAAACGAATATTGTTTGAATAATTCTGCTGACAGTTAATACAATTGACAGGCCAGACATGTCTCAAATTACTGAAGCTGTGTTTAATGAACTGCGTTGCCATGGTAATGTGTTCAAGAAATCGTGTTGCTATGGTAATGTGTTTAATATTTTGAATAAATGAATAAATCACAGATCGACAATCCGTGATTAATCGATCATTTAACGTGGAACATATCCGTACGCTAAATGCCATTTTAGTTATGTGAGTAGAAAAAAGAATTAATAAACGAGTAATTTTTTTTTGTTTCAGCTATTTTGCAAAGGACCACAGTCGGTATTGGTCGAATGAAAATCCAAGGATTAGCTACCTGTCAGTATTTATGCATGTCTCGATGCGGACTGCTTTATGGATCGGTACGTACATTTTATCTTAGACGTACAGGGTGGTTAGCGGAAACCGGACTTTTTGAATGCTTCTGTGATTTACGAATCATTTTTATCGGAAATTGTAAGAAGCGTTTTCAAGTTAACAACATTGAAAGAGTCCGTTTTTTTGGACTACCTATCATCGTGTATCATCTTGAAGCTCATTTTATAGGAAAATTCAAATAGATTTATTGAATACAGTATTGAATAATGCTATCTCATTGTGAAAATAGGTAAACTGTTTAATTCGATTTGATCTCCTTATCAAAAATTGATACCACAATATTACAGGAATATGAGACTGGTGACAAAAATACATACTCTTTTTCTTTGAATATCATGGAAACGTTGTTGATTTGAATGATTCTGATAATCTTTCACAATAAAATTGATCGACAGTTCCACAAAATCCCTCATTTTCAAATTTCTCGACAGGGTTTCCTAAGCATTGTGGCATCCTTTTTTCTGACAGAGGATAAAAAATACTGTTATTCTCTGAGAGTTTTGGTATGACGGCAAAATTTAATGTTTTTCGTGATTGATACGATTCCAGAATTTTACAAATAAATAAGAACCATGCACATAATTTTCATGTGAAATGAGCCTTCTGTTTAGATAATAGTTGCAATGTTTCGAATACTTCTATCTAGAATTCTATCATTTCATTTTGTAAAGTGCCTTTCTGTCTAGTTTCAGTTTATATCTTGACTAAATTCTAATACAGTTACATAAATGATTGATGACCATCAGATGGAATTTCGACAATACCTATACCTACCAATTTCTCTTTGTACATCTCTCTTTCAGTGAATAATATAAGAAATAAAAATAGGTCGATTTTATTTTCAAGGGGGACACCTCAAATTATTAGTTTTAGCCCTCTCGGTTCAACCCCTTAGGAGGGTTAGATATTACCTTTAGAATCTCAAATGGAGAGGGGGGTCAAGTGGCACATCATTTTGTGAGGCGTTCAATTCTCTTTCCAACGGTACCCTAGTATATCATTTTCTGTTGAGCAGTTTCCGAAAAATGCCCTGTCACTTAGAAAACTTCGAAGACACACAAAATGTATATTTTTAGCCCTCTCAGTTCATCCCCCTAGGAGGGGAAGATGTTACCCTTAGAAACTCGTATGAAAAGGGGGGTCAAGATGCACATCTTCTTGAAGTGCGCTCAAGTATGTTTTCAACAATAAATCCTAGTTTTCCATTTTTTGATGAGCATAGTTTCCGAAAAATGCCGTTCTAAACTTACAGAAGTAATTAGAACATGCCTACATGAGTATAGTATAAGTATAGTATAAAAATTATTGCTAAATATGTCAAGTACCATACACTTAAGATGGTTTACCATGCAAACGTAGAGTCTATCATGAGGTATGGTATCATATATCCGGAAGAAATTTCACTAACAGTTCATTTCCACCACTGTCCGAATCCGACGGCACATTAGCAACAACATCGCAGGAGAAAGCGAATATTTTTGCAGAGATGTTCGCAGCAAACTCTACTTTTGATTCCCAAGGAAAAGTACCGCCAGACATTCCACCGGTTGAGAGTCGAATGCCCGAAATCGTCTTTCGTCAACGCACTATCAGACGAATTTTGCTTGGTCTCAAAACGAATGAGGCTAACGGTCCTGATGGAATTCCACCCATTATCCTCAAAAAATGTGCACCAGAATTAACACCGATTCTCTGCAAGTTGTTTACCGTCTTATACAGGTCGGGTATTTTCCCATCATGCTGGAAGACAGCTAGAGTCCAACCAATCCCCAAAAAAGGGAACAAGAACCTGCCCAACAACTACAGGCCCATTGCCCTGTTATCAGTAATCTTCAAAGTGATGGAGAAAGCCATCAACATTGAGCTTATCAAATATCTGGAGAGCTCAGGAATCATCAATGATAGACAATACGGCTTTCGCCACCGAAGATCTACTGGAGATCTACTTGCCTACGTCACCCATTTATGGCAAGCTTCATTAGAAAAACACGGGGAATCTCTAGCTGTCGCGTTGGACATATCGAAAGCATTTGACCGTGTTTGGCACGAAGGACTCCTCCACAAACTACCATCATACGGCTTACCACCTCAGCTATGCCATCTCTTATCGAGTTTTCTTTCAGGCAGATCGCTTCATGTGATGGTGGACGGTGTATCGTCTGATACCATTGGCATCAATTCCGGCGTTCCACAAGGATCAATTTTGGCACCAACATTATTCCTTCTTTATATCAATGATCTGTTGGGAGTAACAACTTGCCCCATCCACAGCTTCGCAGATGATAGTACCCTCCATACTGTGTTCTCTTCCAGAATTCCCATTTCTTCCTAGGAAACTAAGAACTCACGGCGCAGGCAGGTCAATGCTGTCAATGAAGACCTTGCTGAAATCACAGCCTGGGGAACCAACAACCTAGTTGAATTCAACGCCACCAAAACTCAAGCCTGTATTTTCTCTAGAAAGGCGGAACTCAGTATGCCCGACATTGTAATGTCTGGCACCACCATCTCCACCAAGCCCACTATATCTATGCTCGGTATTTCCATCAGCAACACTCTTTCGTGGGATAATCATGTCAGATCCATCGCAAAAGCTGCTTCACAAAAACTCGGATTCTTGTTCCGTGCGAAAAGCTACTTTACACCTCAACAGCTTCTCATGTTCTACAAAGCGCAGATACGGCCTGTTGTAGAATACTGTTCCCACATATGGGGTTCAGCACCAAAACATACGCTGATGCTCTTAGATTCCATCCAGAGAAGAGCCATCCGCCTGGTGGGTGACGCCACACTCACTCACTCTTTGACAACATTGAAACACCGTAGAGAGGTCGGCGACCTTTCACTTTTCTATCGATACTTCCACGGGAAATGTGCATCGGAAATCTCTGCTATCATTCCTCCACTAGCATTACCAGTCAGACGAACTAGGCAAGCCCAGTCAGCATATCCTTTCGTTGTCAACCTCGAAAGATGTCGAACAGCACTTTATCAAGACTCCTTCATCTATAGAACGGCTCCTGAGGAAGTATTCCCAACAACATATAACCTACAGAAGTTCAAAAAAAATTCAAATACCTACCTCAAGCGATAAAAAAAAAATCTATGGAAGTAGCAGGGCCGCAAACGCGATCTTCATAATCCAGAAGAGAATTCTCTGGAACTTGAAACCTGTAGATTCATGCAGAGGTTTATTCAGAAAAAATAAACGATTATTTACAAATATGGAATCTCAGACAGAACATGATACCAGATACTCTAACTACACATATCCAGCACACAGATTGCGATTAACTGAGTCCAGTGCATTATACTCTTGTATTAGATTTTATAACAAACTCTCTAGTGACATCAAATCGATAAAATCATTAGCAAAATTCGGGAAAACAATTTTTAAGTTGTTGGTTAACATCGAACCATATGATGAGACAGAGTTCATGAACTTCGAATCAAATAATCTCGGAAATATTTGTAGAACTTACAAGTGACTATCATATTCTTTTGTTGACGATTGTTTCATTTAATCCTACTTTATGTGATCACTTTTATATATTGTAGTATTCCTTGAAATAAAATTTATTTATTATTATTATTATTATTTTTTTTATTATTGCACTCAGATGCATGGTTTTCAGGTAAGTATTATTGTATTGACTCTCCTTTCAGTCCAAATGGTAGGAAGATTTTGAATGCTTGTCAGTGCAGGCATGTTCTAATTACTTCAGTAAGTTTAGAACGGCATTTTTCGGAAACTGCTCAACAGAAAATGATAATCTAGGGTACCGTGAAGAGAATTGAGCGCAATTCAAAATGATGTGCCACTTGACCCCCCTTCTTATTTGGGATTCTGAGGGTATAAACATCTACCCCTCCTAGGGGTTGAACCAAGAGGGCTAAAAATATTCATTTTAAGTGTCGCCCTTCGAAATTAGGTTGACTTATTCTCGATTTTCCATATTATTTATTGAAAGGAAGATATTCAGGGTGAGAAGTTTTCAAAATATCACCCTGTATATTTATAAAATCAACATTCCGTAATTTCCGTGTATTATGCAAACTGGCGATTGGTAGATATAGGTACAGTACTGCTCAATAAATAAGTGACTAATAAGCTTATATCTCGAGACGATTTTTATACCAGTCTTTGCTTATTTATTGAGCAGAGCTTTACATACGAAATGCTATTTATGTAAATATACGGAGATGAATAGGAAGACCCCTATATAATTCCTGTATATTTTACAGTTCCAGATATACTTGGGAAAAATAGTTCTCGTGTGTTTTATGAGAATTAAATGGGGCACTTTGTTATACAAGTAATGATGTTTACATTTGTGATTGAAACGGGCACTGTTTTATAGTAGAAAAAACTTGTATAATACGACTTGATGCCAACATAACCTCCTACATTACCTCTTTGATTAATAATTGCATGATTTGTTGATTAGAATACCCATGAAATGATATTAGTAGATAAATGCCTAGAACGTATTATTCTGGGAGATATCCTCACCTGTTTTTTCAACAGAAACTTGCGAGCAATGTTCTCTGTTTGATTTTTCACTAAGAAGCTACAAAAAACAAAGTAAAAGTTAGGTACTCTGAATCTGAGAACGAATCAAAATTAGTGCTTTCTATGAACGATTTCAGCATTCACCATATATTTATTATGTGTTGTATATATCTTGTATAAATCTTGTATATATCTTGTATACATCTTCTATACACTTGTATAATTCTCGTATGAATCTGGTGTATATATCTAGTATAGGTATATATCTTTATTGATATCTTACGTAAAGCAGAATTCAAACATAACTATTGAATTGTCAGGTCCAGCATATCAAAACATATTTAAAATAGCTTTGGACTATTCGTTTTCTAGTAAAATGATGAGCTATTTTTTCTGAATTCAATGTTTTTTCATGCACAAGTTGAAATTTTGTTTTTTTTATAAAATGTGGGAATATGTGTAGCAAAATTG